GCGTTGGAATGACATTGCTACACGGTTTCGTCCCACATCCGTCGCCGTTGCCACCAATGAAACAGACTTTAGTTGCGCGATACCTTTGATGCAGTCGAACGACAAAATTGAAGCTAGGCCGATATTAGACCTTGAAAATGTACACCATGTACGCTTACGCAGTACGGCTATTCAGTAAACCAGACAGCGTTCGTTCATTCATGACATGCGCTGCAGACAGATTCAGTCATGAACCTATCTGTAGCGCTTCGGTCGGTGGTACTTTGAGACGGGCACCTTCATCGTAGGTTCAGTGTACTCCCGGCCAGCTAGCTAGCCGGTCAAAGTAAGTTTCAGCATAATTATCAAAAATAAAACAGTACAGCATAGATCAGACTGCGAAACAGAGAATAAGAGACGAGGTGCGTATGTGACACGGTAAAAATGAAATTAGAAGATCTTGGGTGTGGGCAAGACGCGACGTCAACGGTCAGCGACAATCCGACCAGGTAGGTTTGCCGCCCTGTTCAGCAATGGTTTCCGGCCATCGACGACATCAAAATATCGGCACGATAGCTGGGTTCTATTGTCATTGCGCTAACGTAATAATAGACGCTGACAACATCATTGAGACGCACAGGGCGGATGTGTTGATACGATCAGGAGTATGTTTACGTGACACATGAGTATCTTGAAATTTGCAGTGCTCAATGCGTTAAGCCATCGCATAGTCCGGAGTGCCCTGTGGAGCTCGTACCTATAATGACAAATGGCCAGATTTCAGTTTCGCGCTCTTTACCGCTTGTAACCTTTTCTCCAAACGACATTCGCCTAGCACGTAAGCAATTACGTCTATGGCCGCTTTCAGAAAATTTACTAGGTGAGCAGCCTCGGTCACAAAGGTTCGGCTTATTGCATTGTACCGGGGTATATGATTTAGTTCGTGACACAGCATCATTGTTTTTTCCTCATGATTTCCACCACGTAGTTTGTTTGAGCGTCTGAGAGTAACCTCTGACTATTCACACCACATGTACGTACGTAAGCATCGAACATGTGACCTTTGCTTGGAAGTAAATTTTCCTCTTATTAGAGTTGGTAAATATGTGTAAATGTATACATAATACATTTGTAGAAGCATCGAACCTGATACTTTCGTTCATCCGGTTGTCAGCCTCAAATAGCAGGAAACAAGTATTTATAACCAACTGTGAGCTTGTACAACCGTATTTGTACGCTCGATTGCGAACCCGTGGGGACCTAATTGATATAATTACGGTGATGTGATCTCAATGTGAATCCCAGCATAGGGCACGGGTTTGTACTATTATAGACAATGCCTTACGTTTGCTAAGGGCTAAAAGCGAAGCTATTTGTGAAAGCAATATACTTACTGGGAAGGTGTTCAAACATACACTGTTGAACCACACGAATCTGTAAATACCATCTACATAATAGGTCGGTGTAGATCTGCGTTCTGCCATGGTTGGCGCAAAATGATATGCAAACGGGAAGGTATCAGAGAGGGGCTCGTCGAATTTGGTAGTTATAGTTGAGGTCTTTGTGGTCAATTGGACTACGATATTCGTGTTCGCAGTGCTACCGCTAAGGAAACTTCGCCGCTCCATGGGTCCGTCGGTGTGAGATCCATTTGGACATCGTTATCCAGAATTTGTCCAACTACAAACGGCGTTGCCAGTGCTCATAGGTTAAGAAACCTGTGGAAATGTTAATGGGGCAAAAGCTGGACGGAAGACGACAGGAACAAGCGTTTATACTGACAACGAAGCCCAACATCCTTCTGACTGACTAAAGACTTAACAATAAGGTGTAGAAATCTACACACAACATGGAAGTCATAATTAAAGCTGCATGGAAACAGGGGATCATACTTAAATCGGGGTAATTAAACAACGCTTAATACACGATCATGTAATACATTCTGTACGTATGGTCAAACAATGTTCATGTATAAGCCTAAATGTACGCGTTCGCCGGGATCGTAGGCAAAACGTCTCCGACATACCAATCACTAAAATAGCCTACAATCAATTTTATAGTTTTGATCTTAAATACACTGTTTTATTGCACCAGGAGCCGCTTCTGCAGGTGTTGGGTAAAGTTTTTTTTTTGTTTTGTGTGATCTCGATGTGGCTATAGGACGTCTGTACTTTTCCACGCCAATGATACTGATGTACAAGCGCAAATTACACAGAGCCAATTGGAATCGTCTGTTACAAACAGTCAATTTAAAGAGATTTGCCAACCGAGTGTTATTACACACATTATTTTGTGTGTGAGACAAATGCTTGTTTTTTGTTTTTGCGTATCATTATTATTATTATTATATGTATATGCCATCCGATGGTAATCGGAGTTGTTTCGCCCATCTCAAACACGGAGCCGATGTTTTATACGCGTGTATTTGTCTTCTATCACAGTACTACTTAATCAAACTACTGTCCGCAGTAGGTCACAACGAACCTATGCCGCTGAAGTGGTACACCCTAGAGACGAATGTAACAATTTGATATTAAAACGCAAGCGCGCTAAATTTCAAAACGTGTTTTACGTATACAAGAAGACGAACGTTGTATGTGTTTCTCGTTCTATCTTTGTAAATCGAGAGGTCTGTTCAAAGAAATCTGATGTGACAATTCTAAAGCTCAAATCCTCATGGTCATCTTAATTGATAATAACGGTCAAAGCTTTTAAAAGCATAAAATATGTTCGAATCATATTATATTCGAAATTTCAAAGATGAATTTAATACTTCATTTTCTCTGAAAAGGGGGTGGGCCCAAAGGTTCCCGGATCCTTCCTCTTGCCATTCACACACGTAACCAATCATCGACGCTAGTCAGCCGAGCGTTTTCGCGTAATTAACTTTTACAATGTTCAATCATAGGCAGAACAGTAGCGCCGATTCCCTACGACGAGTTTGATGACACGTCCGACCGGGCGTAAACCCTATGTCTCTTGAACAAAGAGCATGGCCCGATACTGGACGGTAGCTACGCCTTTTCGTGCTAAGATGATTAACAATTAGGGTCTGACTTCTGAAAACCCATATAGTTTTATTATTAGTGCTATTAATGCTACCCAAATAAAAATTCTTGCATTCGAAGGGTATGCGCTCCGATTATCGGAGGTGATGACAAATTGATTGCAATTCGTATTCTTATGTATGCATGCATGTCCGATGCCAGTTTTGCTAAAAAAAAATGAATAAAATTTGCTAAAAATTCTATCAACTATATTTAGATGTGACCTTTTTCTGAAGATAGAGAGCACCACATCACACTACACAATAGCCTCGAACAAGATTGTCCCGATACTATCCCAGTGTACGAATTATCGCTATATCACTACTTCATCTACAATAATAGAAAAGCTAAGCTCAACAAGACCCCCTGTCGTAACGTAGCTCAAATTAAACCGAACGTGTGTGAACGAAACCGGGCCCGCGTTTGGGGAACCTTCAACGAGTTAAAAATGTTTTTCCCCAGTGACGATTTTAGCTAAAAATACTGTCACACGTAGCGGACCATTCAGGACGACATCCTTTTAACGTAGCCTGTATCTGCTTCATACATAATAGATCTTTTTCCCTTATTTTCCCGTCCGTGATAGCTATTTCGACAGCAAGCAGCTTCAAGCCAACTAGATCTGCCCACTGAATGATGTACGCAGCTACAAAGGAAGCACCACGAAGCGTGGGTTCCAAGGCTGTAAAAAGTCAGGGAACGTTAAACACTCGTACGTCTCTTGACCCTATCAAATGAAAGGCGACATACATCTGGCTTGTAGCTAATGGCGTACAACGATGAATATCAAAAGTGCCCAGGTATTATGCGCATCCGTTACCGGCTAAAGATTAGCCAGACCACATCGATGAGCTTAATAGAAATTAGATTGGGCGTTATCGCAAGATGAACTTGCCCAGAAGACATCTTCGTTCTCGGCTACTTGGTGCATGCAGTCTAGGGGCCGGCCGTCACCGCTACCGTTATTACCGTTATCCACTAGTTGTCAGGTGCTACATGTGGTAACGACGATACCTAACGTTATAGTGCAGGGCTTTCGTAACGCACATTATGGCATGACGTCTCATAATTAGTAGCAGTATAACTACGGGTGAACGATGACTAGCAAGCATTCACGATTCTTTCGAAATAACCCGTTTACGTATTGACAAAGTGACGGGCCTGCGGCCTGGGAGCATCTGAGTTTGCAGTATTATTCTAAGTGACATCTATTTGAAAATGGTAGAAGCGAAAAGAAAAGAAAAGGAGAGAAGGAGGGGACGAAGGGGAGAGGCGAACAGAAGGAGGATGAGCGGAAAAGTCGTTGTCAAAGCATCCGTGGCCAGGCAAATTAGGCAGGCCCCTGAGCGGTTTATTATAGCATGCTAATGGAACCAGGATGAGCTGCTACTGGCATTAGGAGTAGACTCCTTAGGCTTTGGCGAGACACTACAATGCTTGTTTCACATGAAACACTTATGCTTGTTGAAACCTATGTTTAAGCGACTTTTACGTGGCAAGCCGGCTAACTGGCAGCGAACAAACGCGTTTATAGAAATTTGCCATCCTTGATCGAAGCTTATTTTCATGACACCGCTTGCACTGCAGTTAGCGTTGTGCTGATGTGTTTCGATAGATTAGTTCTCTATTTCGCTCCTATGAGAGAATAAGATATACGAGAATAGAATATTAGCGACGTTTTTATATAAATTAGCAGAAAAGAGACAGATAAATATACGACGGTTTAGAACGATCGTATATAGCTTATTGCATGATTGGCGGTTCATGCTAACGTAGACGGTTGTAGTACGGACACGAGCGCGATCCGGGAAAAATGGGAATAAAAGTATTAAGTGCTTATTTACCTTTATACAGCGTTGTTGTTCCCCTGTTTTTTCCGTTTTATCGCCCATTATACCATAGTTATTGTTTCGATACATAGGAAGTAGTCAGGCAAACAACTGCTAGACACACTATATAATACAAGGCACATACTTAACTTACAGCGGTGATGTAAAGACTCATCCTTGTTGGGATCAAGTGTAGGTCGCGTACAGCTGGCAGATCGCTGTTCGTGAAGATCTTCGAAAAGCGATTTTGGACGTGGTGTTTTATAACTAGACGAAGTACGTCTAAAACTCGCTGATAATGGCATATTTAAACGACGTATTGACTCAGTTAGTAAACAGGTGAAGATATGCGGATGCCACCTACTTATGATCTGCTCACATCAATCGATGGGCATGCAATCGCTAAAAGGGAAAAGTTCCAGCTTCAACACAACAGAGACCGACCCGATGTCAACCTTTTTCTGATACCTATCAGTATCCCAGGAACTCGTATATTCGGTAGAAGCAAATAAACAACAGTATACATAAGAATGATTGCATTTTTAGGGCTCCAACAACTTTACCTTGATAGTGTCAGACTGTAACTAAACGCAACCAGTATGTTAGAAATAGCTTTTATGTAAAGCTGATTATCAACGATATAGTTCACCCTCATATATATCAACAAGCTTTCCAGTACAGATCGAATTCTAGGGGGCAGTGTCAGGAATATCTCGATGTAGCGCGGTACCCAGGGAGACGTTTCCACAAAGGCTCACCATTAGTTTATAATAAGCGTTCGTTAAAAAGAAATGAGCTTAATGTTAACGAGAAAAAAACAAGTATTCATTTTGTTGTAACAGAGTCCGAAAAGTCCAAACGTTGATCAGTTGTGCTCCACGCAACAGCTGCGTCACGTATTATGCCCACTGAAATACGCGAGCGGGGGGGGGGGGGTGATAGTTACTACTGTGATGGTATTGCGTGTTCATCTTGTTTTGTAAAAATTGTCATCTAGCAGTAAGTGAAACTAGTGGTACCAAACGTCTGCCCAGATTCACCATTCCTCTAGCAGATTTATCGCTGTCGAAAGATTATGAATAGATCACCGGCGTACTCTCACTTACATCCGACCAACGGTGACTTATCGAACACTGCAATGTCGGGTCGGTCCGATCGAAAGGATGTCGTTTGCAGGGAACCCGTATAACGCCTCTCGCACTCTTCGAGTGTTGGTTCGTAGAGGGCGGAACCGAATTTGTGGTTATCCCGGTAGATCAACGTCAGCGGACGTTTCCAATTCACCATCTGTGGAATTGTGTACCGCGTAGGACCGTAAGATCCCACCGGACAGAGCAAAATACACGAAACAAGCAGTAAGTGAGCGAACGTTTTATTGTGATCAGAAATGTCATGTCACCGTGGCCCGAGTCTTGTCTAGCTGGGTCAGAAGCTGCGGATGATTTGGCAGACCAGGTTGGCCGCGACGTGTTGGCTAGCTTTTTTTTTTTACTACCGTGACTCCGATAGTGTGATAGTTAATATTATGTGATACGAGAACGTTTCGCAATACGCTCGTGATACGAAACAGATCTGGGCTGTCACTCCCCGGGGAGGAAGAGAGCGCTTCGAGTTAGAGGTCAGGTCAAGTCGGCTCCGATGAGCGCTCTGTTCGTCCAATCTGAGAACGCTTTTCAAGCTCAATGAGGCTCGCTAATTGAGGATGGTAAGCTCTAGATAGAATCTTCGTCACTACGACCCGATTAGTAGCCAACGTGTTCAGTGCACGGTAATTCCGTAAGCAGAAGCCCAAATAGCATTATACTACCGCTGTTATTTAATGTTGAGACATGCTGATTGTAAATCAAAGAGCGACTCGGAGTATAGTTCTTGAACGTTAAATGAATCGTGTATAATCGATTCTTTTTGTTTCACGCACAGCAATATAATTTCTGCTCCTTGTAATTGATCCTTTTTTTTTGCTAAGGACGCAAACAATGCGTCGTATTTACTCTCAACGTGCCATTGCCACACGAAATAATGCTATAAATAAAAACACGAATAGATGCTAGGCACGATATACATTTTTTACCACATAAATAACTTAGCGAGAACGTTCTGCACGTAATTTCCCTTGTATCGTCCCGTACTTATATCAAATGAGCTTTTCAACATAAAAAGTCCGAAGCAGCTGCGTGCAATTATGGCGACACCAGTTTTACAGTGATCTTTTTTTTCGAGACGAATAAATTCACTTATTTCCATTTAAAGCTAAGGCGTAAGCCTTGAAAGTACGATGCACGATGAGAGTCGACTGTACTCAAAAACTTCTAATGAGAAAACGCCGAAAGTTAATTTGGACGGTCGCACAGCAAAGCAGCATCCTTGAATTCACTGTTAAAAATGAGCTATGCACTGAGTATCCATAAGTTCGCTTTTGAACATCATACAACCTAGCCAAAGAAGTTAGCTGTCACGCGGACCGTAGTATTTAAAAAAAAAGAAAGTTACACCTGATCGCAAACTTACGCGATTCTACAAAATCGATGCCATTAAACAGTTATTCATTAATCCGTTCAGCCCGGCATCAACTAACAGCCTCCATGTGTACTCCCTATTTTTTTTTGCTTGAAACAAACACCAAACGCGACCGAAAGTCGTGTACTACTTTTTTGACTTACTTTTGAGCGTGTAGTCTGCTGCGTTCACTAGTAGTTCGCTGTTGTCCAAGTGTGTCGTTCTCGGGTATGATAGGCAAATACACCCGTAAAAAAGGGAAGGATCACAAGCACAGAGTCGTCAAGCGTTGCTATCTACTCTCGCTTTACTGCCGTTGCCGCTGATGTGGCAAAGAGAACCGCCCAACCCGACGTGAATCGATTTAGACCTTCGAGGTGTATGGCGAGCGACCTCCGATAGGCCGGGAAAGCGGCGCATACGATACCACTACCGACGCCTTCAGACGACAGCCCGAAAGGAACTGTGATGCCCTTACGGACCTGCCGCCAAAGGTGAGCCTGATGCCGATGTCAGGCTTGTTGCTGCTGCAGCTGTTGCTGTTGCTTCTATTGCTAGTTAACGTTGCTAGGACGGACGCCAGCCGAAAAATAAACAGGCGTCCAACCTTGTGAAACTGCAGAATGGAACAGGCCAAGTGAAGGTAGATGCACAGGTCAGTGCGAGGAAGTGTCTATTGCTGCAAATCGAAACTGCGAATAGCCGTCGTTACTGTTGCTTAAACTGATGCCACCCAAGCGTGTCCTACCAAACGAGCGCTACCAGATTTATCCTAACGTAGCCACAGAGGCCTTACCAACGACTGCGTGTGCACGAATAGAAACAAAAATAGTGGCAGAGTTTCTTGAGTAGGCATACCATTGGATTTTTTGAAGAATCAATTATTTGCATGTCAGCAAAACACTATTAGGTATTTATGCGATTTATCCTTAAACATATCCTTTCAGTTCTACTATTTAATCTAAGTTAGTTGGCTCGTTCGAACATTGTGAGTAGGACATATTTTAGCCATCGTCGAGCTCTTGAAACGATCTACACCAACACAAGTAATACAGATGTATTCCCTATTACATAGATAGCTATTGTAGACGCATTGTTCATATCATTGTTCGATGGGCTCGTTTTCGTTGGTATTAAAATAGCCTTTTGGCACGAAGCTGAGCGAAAGGTCGGCTAGAAAACTTCGAGAGGTAGAAGTTCTCAAAGAAAAATGCTTTCGGGGTAATTTTTCATCGATACCTTTTCTTTCTAACTAACTTGACAGATGGCTTCGTTTTACTTCTAAAACTGAACACCAACTCTTCAGTACACCCATCGCATAAGCGTACACAAAAGCCCTCAAAATTTACCTGTGCAACAGCTGTGCCATCCCGAGAAACCGCGCTATTTCAAAAAGCTGTCTTGACTAAAACACATTCATTATGGAATACACACAAGTGTACGGTGACGTTGACGGTTTTCACAGTAAATTGTACATATATAAGCTTTCTACATTTCTTATTACTTGAGCACATTATTTTCGTAGCTTCAAATTTGTGCAGGTTCGTACGTGCTTTCAACGTCATGCGCAGTGTAAGCACGTCAGCCTTGCTGTAATGCCTGTTAGCGTGAGTGCCTTCAACGCTACCATAACTACTCATAGGTCGTTTTAATCAACCTGTATCTCTTCTAAGCCTTTCCGATTTCCGCTCAAAGCAGTTTCAATGAATAAAAATGTCTCAGTTATCTGGTACTTTTGAGTATATAAGGCATTAGATAGAATAATTATAATAATTACTAACAATACGTTGTCAATATGATCTCGAAGCAAACACACAATACCATTGCTACTTATTACGCTCACTATTTTTTTAACCCTATTATCATCGTTATTATTATTATTATTAACCCTTCTATTCCTATTGCACTTAATAAGGTTACTTTGATTCAATATTAACTTTGAATTCGCTCTCTCAGCCTTACTTTGTTGCTGTTAGTTCTGTACTCACTTAATGAACTCATGAAGTAGAAGTACCCAGCGTGCACGAGGTTTATCTATCTACGGAGTGATAAACTTCGATCAACCGACCATTTCGAAGTACTGCCTGCATTCCCAGCTAAATAGTATCTTGCGGTAACCCAATTTCTTTATATAGATGTTCTACAGGAACAGTCTTATAAGTTATTGACAAAGCTTACAATGTTTGTCAAAGATAAAACAAAAAGAAAATACATAGTCATCATCGATGTGCTCCACATTTTTGCTCACGTACTTTTCATGCATGTTGGTGCCACGTAATACACCTCGTGCGCGTATCTATATAAAGCGATGTGAATCAACAAGCAGATATCATGTAACTAATATATGCACCAAACCTATACATGGCGTATTTAGGTTGACATCGTGAAGCTTCCAAGAGCCTATGAAATCCCAAAAAGCGTTACTGTATTAAATCTTTATCGGTTTCGGCCTGATACCAGTGGTCTTTCGTCGTTTTCCTTGTTGCGGCTGGCCCTTTGCGGCGTCTACAAGGAGTCCGATCAAACCTTCCATTATCTATATCTTACAGCCGGTTTATCAGGCCGACAAGGGCTGAAGTCGATGAACAAATAGAAAGAACCTTTTGCTTGACACAACGCGCGACCACCCAGCAAACATTGGTAAACGACTTCATGTGTAATCACGCTATTAGATAGTAAAATGAGCTTATGTTGGACGGACAGGTTTTTAGCGTTAACATAAATCAGGAAACGCAAACGTCCCCAGCCGAGAGAACAAGAATAGAAAAATGTATGTATTCATCTACATTCGAATGGATATCTAGAGTTCCTGTGGTGTAATGGAATAAAATGCCGATGAAGGCCGTAGTCAGATTTTTGCGGAACCTCCTAAGTAGGTTAGTTTTTCCGTAGATTAGTCAACAATACTGTGTAAACATTCAAAAGAAAGCCTAACTCTTGTAACATACGTTTAATAGCTATTGTTTAAGCGGTAATGCGACGGGCATAACGTTTTTGACGAACTTCGTTGTTCTTTGAATCGAATAACGTCGGCCGATAGCGAGCTCTCGTAATTTTTGAAGACATGAAATAGATTATATGCCGCATGCAAAAACAATAACCGTATTTGAGAATGAATGCAGAGATATAGCTAGAACCGGTTGACTTTGCCAAACGCTTAACGCAGTCGAGAGTTATAGCTTCCGCCGACGACGTCGGCTGGCCTCAGCAGAAAATTCTGTGTAATTCGTTGTGCCAACAAAAACTTACTTGTACAGCGTTCCTTCTGAGAAGTGAGGTCTTTCTGAGTGAGGCATCTAAAAATGGAACCACTAAGATTATCCCGGCTGATCAGGGTCTGCATGAGGGTTGAAAAAAATCTAGAAACTACGCAGCGAACAAATTGCAATGCCCAGACATTAGGGACCATCAACTATGGACTTCGACAGCGGTGCGCTTAAGCTAGTGCCGGCGTTTAATTGCTTCTCGACCCCGAGGGTTCTGATTTAGGCGGTCAGACACCGGAACACGACAGACTTTATGGTTATCCGACGTTTTCATAAAAACGTCGCGTTCGAGATCTATTAAAGTATTGATCGGCAACATCTTTTGTATAAAAACGTTAAAATTCAAATATATTCCTCTCGAACCATGTCTGTCCTTCCACTATCGACCAAGAATCAACGCCAATTGATACACTCTTGTTAGTTCCAGAATGACATACGAGCAAAGCACGTTTCGATAAGATCCATTTACATGTATCGTTGCTTTAAAAGTCCAAAAGTGTTCGAAAGATTCCTATTCTGTTTTCTGTGAACAATGACCTAAGAATAAATTAAAGATACGTACCGAACAAGCGACTTGAAACCAATAAAAAACGTCACTGCATCAGTCATCGACCGTTTGATGACGCGTATATTGAATGCTACAGTTTTGGATTAAAAATATATAAATGAACCTTTATTATGACGCGTCAGAAAGCTATACAAACATATGTTGAAGGGTTTAGCTGTTGTAATTACGGGCCATTATTCGCGTGCCGGATAATTTCGAAAAATCGCTGAAAAATGCCAAACGTCTTGTAAACGTTTTTATTTATTATTCAGATCTGGGTATGAACTTGTATATATATTTTTTGTTTTGTTTTTTAATTAATTCATAGTAATTAGACACAGATGAACTAATTGGTAAATCTTGCATTGGATAGAGCTACATTCTGCGAAATTAGCTTCAAGTACGTGCCGTCTTTGGCATTGTCGGTAATTCATTTAATTGGTAAAATTATCGAAAAAACATCATATCAAGCGGGAAAATAAACTAGCGCTGCTTGTTATTATTGCTTAAATCAATAACAGAACAGCTGTGAGGGGTAAGCACATAAAATGGTTTTGAAGTGAGGTCGTACATGAAAAAGCTAGTTCTAAATAATGTAATGCTCTTCCTCAACGCCGTGTCCGCCGTCAGGTCGAAACACGTGGCAATAGACCTAGTGCACAAAATGCAGTATATAATTAGTCGGAAGAATGAATTTATGGCTATGTTGAAGTCTAGCTATACGCAGCTACCACTACAGCAGCGTTTGATAGGTTCAAAAGAAGGTAGAAAATTATGCAGTATTATGTGCTTAGAAAGCGCTCCGGATCGGTTTGTGAACGTAAATGGAAAAAGAAATTTACCGGCGTACAAATAGAAACTAGTTTTAAATCGTACTTACGTATGATTAATCAATTGCTAGCCTTTTTGGTTTTTGTAGAAGATCAGAGGCGATCGAGCTATTCTAATCTGCAATGAAAAGGGCATTAGAAAATCAATTAAATCACATTACGAACTTCATTCATTTTGAATGGGTAAATCTATTGGCCGGTACTTAACAGTTCCGTGAGGTACTGGCAGAACGTCTAAATTTACGTGTTGTATGCAGTGGGGTAATCTTATAAAGATGAAAAGATTTATACGCTTTTCCTTCTTTGCGTGTACGCATTTACTACTTGTCAGTATTAGTAGTGTTTCATTTTCGCTAGAAAATAATGAGTTCGGCTGGTAGAGTAGTGGGATAACTTTGGAGTACATCCGGTACTTTTGGTTGGTACACTTTTGTTTCGTGCTGGCTGGGACCAGCCGTCCGAAACACGGGCCGTAAAACACGAAAAACCCTTTGACAAATAATGGGTCACAATAAAATATCATCGAAAGCCGATTTAAGGAAAAAGCGTAAAAAAACGCAGCCATACGCAACGCTGTACGACGTATCAGAATGAACCAGTATACACCCTATTGATTCTTTAAAAACAGGCTTTAAAATCAGTACGAGCTTCAACATAATCTCTGCCGGTCATTGATTGGTCTTTATTTCGGCCCCACGTAAAGTTCACCTATGCATTTTGCTCGTCATGTACATACTGTAGTAGCTCAGTAGAAGTGGTTCCGTTCATCTCATGTTGGATACAGAATTAGATAACGCGACGCCATTTGTTTTCTTTCGTAGCGTTACCCAGTCATGTGACTGTGTGGAGGCCGCATCGACCTGCCGGAGTGACAAGTCAATTAGACAAAACGGTGTCTCAATTTAATGTGTATGCACTACGTTGGAGTGATTCGTATGGCCGTAAAGCCGTCGGTGTTGTGGCTTGAGCTGATGTTGCCATTGCTAGTCCTGCCGCGGCTGCACTCGGCGTGCCGCGTCACGACAATGACTCTAATGCTTGCGTCCGGCCTCACCATTGCCATGGCCTAACCGCTCTTCCTACGTCTTCGTTTCGAGAGCCATCATTCCCCCGCATGCTACTGGACGGGTCGGAACCGCGATCTAAGCAGCGTTGTCACTCAGCAGAGGAAGTCTCCCCTTCTCAGTTTTCGTTACGCGTCGTCGACTTCATCCCTGTGGGCCGAAGTATGTACCTGTATATACTGTAATTTCGTCGTATCGTACCTGACCTCAAATCAGGCCCAGTCCGACCAAGTCGACAGGAACTTGTCGACAACAGTCAATGCATTCGGGTGTTTTAGATAGATCTGGATTGCTCCGCTTAAATGTCGTGCAGGCGTTCTGAAGTACCCGCTGGCCAAATAAGTCGAAACAATAGAACAGAGGAATCGGATCAAATTAGTTTGAAAACTATTAGTAGTAAAAATGTCACTAATGTCATATATAACAGTAGAGCATCGTACCCGTAATAATATCATGACTGTCTGACGCGGTACGCTCGAGCACATCTGATATAGAAACATGTTCATCCACACCTCTTCCGCACGCAATTGTCGCTTAGATATCCGTTTAGCTCAACCATTTTAGGATCGATGACCCATTTTCTACGAACGTCATTAAATCTAAGCTTAAAGTAATGGTTACCAAGAGCTGATTTATACAATTTAGCTCGGCTACTAACATTTGACTTTTTGAATAATGATCTTATAAGAGACAGATGGGTTCATTTGATAACGCCTCGACGAACATAGCCAATGTCACCGTTCTAGAAATGATTTCGACGCACGTTCAACCTTGGTCAGCCAACTTATTTCCTACAACTGTGTAATACCAGTTATGCAGTTCCGTAGTATTATATAACTAGTAACCGTATCGCCCTGTGTGGAGAACTTGATAAAAAGCGTGGCTGTCAAGTCGAAAGTGGCACTAGCGATGCAACTTTATAACATTTGTAGTAAAACAAGATTTTAAGGATTTTGATTTCTGCGTCGGACCAGCGCTATGATGATTGCTTTTATCAGTGTTACAATTTACTTATCAGCAGAACTGTCGGAAGTTATGAGAAGGAAAATTCCAACTAGGTGTTCGTCAATAATCCGCTAGTTTCTCTTAAGGACGAGCTAATTTTAAGCCATTGAAGGTAAGCATTTGATTTTTACCCTAAATGTATACCTGATATCAACTTTTCAATCTCGAATCTGATACACAACAGCTAATCTAAACGCGAACACGAACATTCGTCATTAATTCTGCGAGGTCGTACCTCTCTACAACAAAAACGTTACTGAATGAAACGGCTTGTTCCCATTAGTTGTATTCGGATGAGTACCTTTTTTTTGTCAATGTTTTATCGTAACTTGCTCGTCGAGAATGGTGAGCGAGCAAAAAGGAACTTAAGTTACTCATATATTAGCAGTAAGATTATTATCGTTTTAACACGATCGGCAGATGAGGAAAAAGGTATATATCCTCGGTGTCACTTTCTAATACACGTTTTGGCCAGTTATTGCTGCAAGAGGAAATTATTGTGAACATGGTATCAATACCATTGCGCAGAGTGCGGATGTGTCTATTTCTAAGTATTTAAGGTAGTTTTTTTCATATGCTACGAGTCAAGCTTATCGTCGTGCGCGGCTTAGAGCGGAAAGCAGATGAGGATTACTAGGGCTCATCTATTCAGGGAGTTGCACCGTGAGGTTGCGTAGCGATCTCGAACATACGTGTTGTCAACACCGCGTACCTGCCTCACAGCATCTGCGACGAATTTTCGTTACGGATGGCCATCTTTGGTGGCGTTGTGATACCAGCCAGCCGTTACCAAAACGCTGGGTATTTTACATGAGTGAAGTTAGCTACGGACTTCGCTGGTGCCAGGTCGCTTCAAATGCGTAGTAGTAGTAGTATGCCCGCTGTTCCTCTTTTTGTCCCCGTCTAAAAAGCATATATTTTTCTCGATGAGTAGAATTGATCTGCGCTCTAATGAATGAAAAATCGGTAAATTACTCCAATTCATTATTTGCTCAAGACTTTACTTGGGGGTTAGGCAATAATGGAAATAGTTCATAGTTATGGACTCAAATAACATTGTGCTACAACAATTTGTAGCCATGCGTATATATGTGGTTAGCTCTCTTCATACTCTCTTCAATTCTATACCGAGCTCGCAGCAATGTGTAATGTAGCTTTTTTCTTTTCGATATATATATATATATATATATATATATATACGAGCATTTTTTATGCTGTACGGCCATGTGCATCATGTAAGTGCTGTGTATTAAGTGTGAATAGACCTTGCTAACTGTGCCATGTGTGTATAACGCCATGTCACGCGACAAGGATATCAACCCCAGTGTCCTGTGTTGTCATTGTCCTGCTGACGACGCTGTGCAGCAACTGTTCCCGTGCTTATTGATAATTTATGCACTATATGAAGACTTGACGCCGCATTTGGCGAACACTAGAACAACGAAGATAGCGTTCCTATGCCCTCGTCTAAGCCATTCACGTCGCCCTAACGAGGCAACAAACAAGCCCCATGTATTTGCTTCTGGCGTGACGCATGGCAAACTATTATCAATGGCCTATCGTATCATACCACCCTTAAGCTAGAAGGAAAGTTGGCAGTTCATTTTGGTACATCATTTGATGCAATAGTGAATATTGTGCTCCTAGCTATTCAGCACTGACGGAATAGGGAAATTTCGCATATTATGTGACAATAAAAATATCTTGGGATAACTTTATGATCCGCACAGTTAGACAACTTAATGTGGTAGCTTACGTTAAAACATGGATGTTTGACAGCTAATTTGGTTTGTTCAAACCTATTATTAAACCTTTCAGTAATAACGCGTAAGGACATCTTGATGAATTGTCTGTTATAACACCGTGGCTATGTTGCTTTATTATTTACTAAACCATACACTGCTATGAACTTTCTATCTGCTCCTTCATGTCACATTTGCCATAGTAAATTGCGTAACGGATACACCAAACGTTCTACAGAACCTATTTAAATGACTTGTCCTATTAAATAATAGGGCCCAGTGTAAGGGCAACATAGTGACGAGAAATGAAAAGTAATGGGTCATGGTTTGACGTAGATTATCCAGTCATTTTGTGAATAAATCTGAGATGAAGCGCGTACGTATATTTACAAAATGGCGAGTCAGCGGCGAAAGAAGAAGCAGTGCCGTCAAGGCGCAACAGTTGTGCGCTCTTCATTGAATCAGTACCGTCTGAATCAAAGCTTCTTAATAAAATTTCACTATGCATACGTTATTACTTATTATTAATATGTTTTTATGTATAGAATTAGTGTTAGTTTTCTCCTATGTCTTTTTTCGTTTTGCCATCTTTGACAATTCAATAAAATTGGTAATATGTAGCGGGAGTGGGAAGCTTAGAAAGCGATTCATTGCCACTGGGCCTGAATCGAAACTAAATTGCGGCTATGCGACGGCCATCTGATGACTGTATAATAGGAGGAACGTAAATTAAGATAGGCTATCTAAGAGACCCGCATCGGTCAATTACATAGTTCTACGTGTAGGTATCTAGCCGTAATTCAATAGACGTGAGGCTAGCAAATGAGCGTCAAGAAACTAAGGACAGAGCAAAAGCCTTTAGAGATACTGCGTGTAGTAATACGAGGAAGAAGTGGTATTTAGCAATATTGCTAAAATATCACTAATTCATTCGTAACAATTTGCCCAGCAGTTGAGTTTTTCTAGCCAGCCTCTCAGTAGTCGTGGGTTGTCAGTTACTCTTCTCCAGCAGAGTGATTGGTTATTTATATAATTTAGCATAGTAACACCTCTAAGTAAGTATAAACATGAGTCTTTTTCGTGCCAAATTAATCTCATCGTCACATCATGCAACGGGCAAATTTCTACACACTTGCCAGGTAAAACGTGTTCTGTTCCAGACGCAGTATAAACGAAAAAATTTAGTTTATACAGCCAATGTTTATTAATCGAAGTCTATTTGGTCAGTATACGAATGTATAGCACGTTTAAAGAACAATTTATATCGATGACTTGTCTCTATTTGCTTAGTAATACGGATAATTATTGAGTTATTATTATTATTCATGTTTTCTAAGTGTTATTATGCCACCGCATCATATATACGTTTGGCCAGAATTGAAACATTTAAGTTTCTACTCAGTCGGTGCTTAGAAGTTTCAAAACGTCCATTTCACACTGTTTCGTTAACAAAACATTGTCCTTGGTAGACTAGGGACCGTTCCTACATTCAGAGGTGTCCTAGTTGAATCACTGTTTCATCTCATGCTACATGTGTTTTATGTGACTTTATGAACAATTAATGATCTTCAATAAACGTACATATACGTCCATATTTTTTTGGGATTCGGCTAAATGATTAACTTAATTAACTTAGCAACTGATATTGCCCGCAGGATAGCGAGAGTGCAAGTTAGTGGCAATCTATCCACATGGCGCATCTGTTTTACATCCTTCACATGGTAATCGGCTATTCTAACCTCTTTTTCAATAAAATAGACATTCAATTGTACCTTGTTACCCTGTATGCTTATAGGCTTTTTCTAGTCCTCGTTCGAGCTCTATGCTCCGCCGCACGCTCTGTTTCGATCGTGAAAATAAACGACGGAGAGAGATATCGGCTTTTAGGGCTGTCGTCGTTCTTTGTCTGAGAAAAACCTTCACTGTAACCTAAGCGATCTAGTAAATCATAGCTGAACCGGTGAGGAACAGTGTTAATTGTTGGATGGGTCACTTCTTGGCCTGGAAGGTCAAAGGTCCAAGTGACCCGATGCTTTGGTCAAAACTCTCCATTGAAAGCGGAATTGGAGCGTAGACAAACGTTGTTCGGACAACTGATGACTGAGTTCGTGAATTTCCCCTATAGTGTTTATGCAATGTATGTATGTTTTAAATCTCCAGACAAACAGATTCGTCACCGTTATCGTATCAGTGAGATATGGAGGCGGCGTCAGAAACACGTCCAAGATCCATGCCAGATGGTTTAATGCAGCTCCTTTTCTGTGGCACTTTTGTACAATATGAACACTTCAAGTTTCATCAACAGACCACGAAACAAGCCTCAGTGACCTCAAACCATTTTATACGATGCGAATCGTACGTAAGCATACATATAAGCAGTGATGGACTAGGAAGATACATTGCGGTCCTTAGCATAAATATATAATATGTTCCAATAAAGTCATATAACTATAATAAAAACAGAAAAAATTGATATAACTATAATAAGATAT